AACCACACTTATTAGGCCGGGCAACTCATCAAGCACATGACGCTCGATACCACCACGAGCCCCGCCCCGACGGCCACGCCTACTTGTCAGCGCGGACATAGATTTTCAAATCTTGTTTCGTAACTTCTGCTTTTGCTGTTTCCCACAAACAAGGAAACAGAGTTATGGGAAACAGCAAGAGCAGAAATTATGAAACATTATTTGAAAATTGACTGAAAACGACCGGGCATTTACACATGGCCGACTCCGCCCATTCTCTAAAGGGTTTGGCAATCTAGGCTCCGCTCCCTTGACCACGCCCACTTGCTTTTCGCGGAATTTTGATATTTTTCAAACTTTTGCAGCCCCGCCCATTGTGAGAGGCTCCGCCCACTTTGAAGAAGCCCCGCCCACTTTTCAAAAATGGTGCAGAATCGGCAGTATAGAGTCTCGGCTGGCATGCTAGGGTATTGCTGATCATTCGGAATAAACTTTGCCTGATTTTCTTGTTCCGAGTGACGAACGAGACCCTAGCATGCAAGCCAAGACCCTATACTGCCGATTTGCACCATTTTTGAAAAGTGGGCGGGCTTCTTCAAAGTGGGCGGAGCCTCTCACAGTGGGCGGGGCTTCACGCAGCAGCCCTAAAATGCAAAAATTTTGAAAAAATATCAAAATTCCGCGAAAAGCAAGTGGGCGTGGTCAAGGGGGCGGAGCCTAGATTGCCAAACCCTTTAGAGAATGGGCGGAGTCGGCCATGTGTCAATGCCCGGTCGTTTCCAGTCAAAGTGTTTGTGGGAAACAGCAAAAGCAGAAGTTATGAAACAAGATTTGAGAATCTATGTCCGCGCTGACAAGTGGGCGTGGCCGTCGGGGCGGGGCTCGCAGTGATGTCTGGCGTGATCTGGTTGATGAGTTGCCCGCCCTAATAAGTGTGGTTAACTTGATGAAAAGTGAGGGTGAATTTGGTTTGAAAAGGGTGAATTTGAAGTGAAAATGGTGTCTCCCGCTCGGCTCCAGTTCTTTGGCAGAAAACCGAAATAACTTCTGAGAAATTGGTAGGAGTTCGGGAGCATCCAGTAGAAGGGTGGGTACAATATGAAAAAGGGGTCAAACTGAAAGAAGAAGTCTCATGAGCTGAAGGGGCCCGAACTGAAACAGTCATTCCGCTCAAACTGATGCTCTACACCGGTCCAAATTAGGACGACTGCTAACTCCAAAACCAATGAGTTCCTCACTGATTGCTGAGAAGTAACTGCAACGACAATTCTTTCGAGGGAAACCGAGCATCGAGTGAGATCGAGATGTTTGCTACGGACAAATTCGCTCACAATGACCGGCGCCTATCGATGCCAGGCGACCACATCTGAACAGAAAAACAAAGCGATAAGGTAAGCGACTGTTGCTCTTTCACTCTACATCACAAGAAATATTTCCTGCCTTATTAGAGATTATCGTTCTGATTTTGAGCATAAATCGAGTTTTTTTTGCAGCTCGGAGTTTAATATCAATGTGGTTGGAATTGAAAAGATTTCAACCATCCATCACCACCTGCCATATGGACAGCTTGGTTTCATAGAAGTAGAGGTGAGTAAAAACGCTACCGATCACGGACGCTACTCCATTCAGGGCATGGTCCTGATACCGGTCCTTCATTTTGAACTTGAGAGTAGTATTGAGTATTCTCGTTCCATATTGTCGGCCAGACTTTCTCAAATCAAAAGTAGGGTTTCCAAGTCCAAAGAAATATGACTCAACTTTTCCACCAAACCAATATGCTCTGTTTTCAGGTATGTGCGAATCCGAAACCGGAGATCTTCTGGCTGACTCGCGACGCGATCATTACACCTCATCACGTTCTGGGAAGCTCTCATGTTTCGGTCACGCATCTTCATCCCAAGAAGGTATTCATTTCAAACCTATTGATACCAGTAACATGATTTGATTAGAATGTTCAATTACTATCCTATGCGTCTGCTGACTTCCCTGGCAGAGCACGCGGTCGTTGTAGAAAACGGGGGTCGTTAGCGCACTGCTCATTCAGAACTCGTAAGGTTTCGAGAGATACTGCCACACGAAAGTGATTCGGTGTCTGAGTTCAGCGTGGTCGTCGTTTCTGCGTGATATAGACCACCCAGTTGAGCTCCTCGCGGGGTCTGGGTCCGGTAAGTGGATTTTCCATCTTGTTCAGGTTCTCAACGCCTTCTGATCCCAATTAGGCGAGAGTTATTCTGATACCTTTCGATTCCACGTGCTGGCACCCTATCCTGTAGCAGTACGAAGTTTACAAGCTGATACAGGCGACGACATGGAGGCAGAATATTCTCCTCTAGTTGGGCCGATGTAAGCGTCAGCGCTCATTTTTTCCACTGCAAAAGGCCACGGTGTTCTTCAGTTCCGAACCACGCCGGTACCTATTCAACCCGCGCCTTTGGCGAACTGGCGGTTGGAGATGAATCGCTGACGCATAGCGACGTTGCTCGGATGCTGCTCCGAGTCTGGGGTTTTCCAGATCAAGAGATGATGGTCCCAGTAGTGGTCCATGTGTAAACTCCATGTCAAGAAGAAAGTGCGCAGTCTGATTTGGAAGGTGACGTGAATTCGCAGGCCTTTTTTTCTATGAGACCTTTTCAACTTCGTAGCCCGCTTGAAAGTATCTTTAATTTATTTTTGTGTACCATGAAAGTGTAGGGACGGGCTTGTGACGAGTCCTTGATTCCATCCAAGTGGTCCCCGGGACTGCTCGGCTTTTGCGGCTGAGCAAGAATCGCGTGACCAACTCGAGAAGCAGCGACAGGCCTTCGTTGACGGGCCGGCTTACGAACACCCATGTCACATCATTATGTTTAACTATGCCTTACGAATATCGAGATAATGCTACGGCGTCCGCGGGAGCCGACGCGCACTCGCAAGGCCCGACGAGTGTGAAAAGGTTCTCGTTGCAAGGACGGCGAGGGTCCTCGTTGCAAGGACGGCATCGGGGGGCAACCAGGCTAGTCCGGAAAACCTGCAATGTGTTAAAGACCCGCATTGCGACGCTGAACGTTGGCACCGTTGCACACTTGACTGGAATGATCGATTAGCAGAAGCCCTAGAGCGTAGAAAAGATCGACCTCTGTGCCGTGCAAGAGACGAGATGGGCTGGTTGCAAGTCGAAAGATTTAGGCCGCGGCTTCAAAGCCGTTCTTTGTGGCGGGCCGAAAACTACAGTGGAGTATGCGTGTAATCGTGTCTCATGCGATGATCCGTCGATTCGATTGTGAGCCGTAGTTCGTTTCGACGACACAGCTCAATGTAGATTTGTTTGTCGCTACTTGAAAACGACTGTAACCACTTCAGTATCTTCTGCAATGCCCCACGAAACTGGACGCTCTGAGCAGTTCCAAGGACGAGTTCTGGGCTCTGCATAAGTGACGAGACATCGGTCTGAAGTGGCCACCACAGAGACGTTCACTTGTAGCCGGAAAGATTTGAACGTGACACACTGGTCGCTGCTAAAGACGCTATGACTTGTCATTGGCGTGATTCGCCTACGGTTGCACTGAGAACGCCGATGGTGAGCGAGTCCTCGAGTTTGCAGAGTCGCATAATCTCGTCATTCGGAACACGAAGTTTCGTAAGCGTGACTCCCAATCTCATCACGTTCTACAGCGGGAGAACTAAGACACAAATAGAGACTTCGTGCTCATCAGACATGGCGACCAAGGACTCGTGACAGACGCTAAGGTAGTTACCGATATGAAACGGTGATGGCCAACCACAGCGACCGCCACGTGATCCTGCACGCTCAAACTTGTAGCTCCCGAAGACCGAGCAGGCAAGAACAGATGCGGATCCCCCTAGAGAGATAAAATGGTGGCGGCTGAAAGAGCGGGAGGCAAGCTGTGATTTCTCGTATCGACTACCTGAAGTCACAACTGTTCAGGAGACCTGGGACGAAGCTATTAATTCTATAACCCAGGCCGCCCGCTCCGAACTCGGCACGACGAAGCCTGAACGGCGGAGAATTGACAAAGAGGCATGGCTCTGGACGGACGACATCAAAGCGAAGGTTCGCGAAAAGAAAAGACTCTATCACGCGTTTCTAGAGACAAAAGTCGGCTGACAACTGGCGGCAGTATCGGGAAGCGAGGAAGGCGGCAAAGACGGCCGTAGCTGCGGTGAAGGCCGCTCACTTCGATGATATCAGCAAGAAGCTGGAGACGCGCGACGGTGAGCGGTACCTGTACGGACTTGCCAAATCTCGTCATCGCCAAACCGAAGACATTGAGAAGTTTTTTGGCATAAGTGATGAGAATGGACACCTTCTGATGGACCGAAAAAGGGTATTGCAACGATGGCGTGAATACTTCGAGGGCATCTCAACGGTAGAATTCGCCCATCCCGCTATACCCTGTACCGCACCAACATATGGCCCCGTTCAGAAGATCACCGTACAGGAAACCGAAGCTGCTCTGAGGAAGATGAAGGCCGGCAAAGCAACAGCCCGACGACATGACGCAGCAGCCAATTTGTGGATAGTCACTAAACGCTGGTTTCTCTGCGCGGTTGGTTGAACGAAACCTATCAACCAGGATCGCGTCGAAAGAGAAGAAGGTGCTCGTAAAGGACTGTGGCACAAAGAGCGTGACGTCGTCCGATTTGGAAAAGTAAGGCAACCCGGCAGAATCTACGAACTGACCGTCCAATTCGCCTTCTCTCGCACACACGCCTATGAAAGATCTTTCGATCGGAGTGTGCTGACGCCACTGTTCGATAATCGCTCCCAGGACTTATCGCACTCAACGGGCAGTGTGGCTTCGTGGCGGGTTATAGCACCGGTCGATAGCCACACAATGGAGACCGCTCGCCCTATTGCTGGAGAAAACAGCCAGAAGCGAAAGCCCGTGCATGTAGCCTTCCTAGACCTGGAGAAGGCATTCGATCGTGTGCCGCGTGATGTTATATGGTACGCTTTGAGGCGGCACGGCGTGCCCGAAGAGCTAATTGAGTGGGTGCGCATCCTCTACTCATGCCCAGGGAGCCAAGTTCGCTCACCAGCGGGTGTCTCATGGAGTTCCGCCATAACACCGTACGGGTAACATCAAGGCATCTGCACTCATAACCAATTCTTTCGTTGCGGTCATGGATGCCATATCACAAGATCTTCAGAAGAAAGTGCCAATGGACCCTGCTTTATGCTGATGACGTGATGCTTGCTTGTGAAGATAAGAGCGCACTGGAACAGCAGGTGCAAGCTTGGGCCGAGCGTCTTTCGAAGTTTGGACTCAGGTTGAACGTCAACAAAACCGAGTACCTGACAACCGACCCAAATGAGCCGGGCTCCATTAAGATCGATGACACGGTGCTCAAGCGCACGGAGACATTCAAGTATCTCGGATCAGCACTTGCGTCCGACGGCAGTCTGAACTCGGAAGTGAGCGCACGAGTGAGTGCGGCATGGTCTAAGTGGCGATCCATGTCTGGGATCCTTTGTGACAAGAAAATGCCAGAGCGGTTCAAGTCAAAGATCAAAGATCTACCGTACTGTCGTCCGACCTGTCGCGTTATATGGTGCCGAGTGCTGGCCCGCGACCAAAGAAGTTGAGGCTCGCCTCGGTGTGATGGAGATGAAGATGTTGCGCTGGACGGCGGGCGTCACGCGATCGGACCGCATTTGTAACGATGTCGTGCGCAAGAAGTATGGTGTAGCCCCCATAGGAATAATTTCAAGAATTGCGAAATGAAAACGCGCAACTTCGATGGTACGCTGGCACGTACTTGCGCGCGAAGATGCACCGGTCCGTAAAGGAAACTGCTGCATCGCAATTCGAGTAACCAGAGGAAAGCCGGCGCCAACAGGCGTCCAAACAGCGCTGGCTTGACACGCTGCACACCGACTTGAAAATAGCCGGCATCCATCCCGATCAGGCATTCAATCGGGAAAAGTGGCGTAGTTATATCAAAAAAGCGGACCCGCCATCGAGCGGGACAAACGCTGAAGAAGAAGAAGAAGAAGAAGAAGAAGAAGAAGAAGAAGAAGAAGAAGAAGAAGAAGAAGAAGAAGAAGAAGAAGAAGAAGAAGAAGAAGAAGAAGAAGAAGAAAAAAGAAAAAGAAGAAGAAGAAGAAGAAGAGAAAGAAGAAGAAGAAGAAGAAGAAGAAGAAGAAGAAGAAGAAGAAGAAGAAGAAGAAGAAGAAGAAGAAGAAGAAGAAGAAGAAGAAGAAGAAGAAGAAGAAGAAGAAGAAGAAGAAGAAGAAGAAGAAGAAGAAGAAGAAGAAGAAGAAGAAGAAGAAAGAAGAAGAAGAAGAAGAAGAAGAAGAAGAAGAAGAAGAAGAAGAAGAAGAAGAAGAAGAAGAAGAAGAAGAAGAAGAAGAAGAAGAAAAGAAGAAGAAGAAGAAGAAGAAGAAGAAGAAGAAGAAGAAGAAGAAGAAGAAGAAGAAGAAGAAGAAGAAGAAGAAGAAGAAGAAGAAGAAGAAGAAGAAGAAGAAGAAGAAGAAGAAGAAGAAGAAGAAGAAGAAGAAGAAGAAGAAGAAGAAGAAGAAGAAGAAGAAGAAGAAGAAGAAGAAGAAGAAGAGAAAGTGAGGGACGGGGACTTGCTCCGGCTTATCGAGGAACATCTTGGATATCTTCCGCCTATCCATGTCCTCTGTCTGGGCTGCGAAAACTTTGCTGATAAATGACTCTCCCAAAGTGACTTTTTTTATTGCCTTCCCCTCCCCCCCCGTACATTTCGGCGCGGCGCCAGTTTATTTCCATCAACGGTTACCCGCCCCCATAGCGGATAAAGCGAGTGGTTAAGGACGCTAGCAGCCGCGTCAAAACGAACGCCCACAGGAAGGCCTCCATTGGACGCCCTGATGGTGACTGCCCTTGCATCTTCGTATCCTGCTCAAAATGCGATCGAGGGATCAGCCTTGCCAACACCGCCGACTTTATTATTATTAATCCATTGTTTGGAG